TGCTGCCCACGAGAAGCAGCCCGCGGCAGCCCCCTGCCTCCCTGCTGGCCGAGGCAGGGTCCTCAGTGGTCCCCTGCGGAGCTATTGGCCGAGCCCGCTCTCGCCTCCCACCGCTGGCCGGGCGCCTGCCCCGCGCCGCCTGCCGACTCCGTGGATGGAAGGAGGGAGGGAGACACTCGCTGCATGCAAGAAATCTTTATTGTGCCCGCCAGGGCAGGAGAGAGTTAGAGAGGGCAGGTTGCAAGGTGCGGGGCGGCTGGCTCTGGCACGCCAGGCGGGAGGAAGGGGGATCTTCTGCAGAGCAGGCCTTCCCCCACACGCTGCTCTTCCTGTCCTGAGCGGCACCGCCTGATGACTTGGCCCATCGGCCCCGCAGCGACTTCTAGGTGCAGGCACAGGGCAGGCAGGGCAAGAGGCCCTGCGAGGAGCGCAGCAAAGCAAAGGAGCAAAGGGCAGAGAAGCGCCAAGGGCATCTGGCACTCGCAGCGGTGCTCAGCGCTGCTCGGGGACGCCCCTGGCCCCAAGCTCAGCCGTGCAGCGGTGCCGCTCGGGGTCCTGCGTGCGCTGGGTGGCAGCAGCGGGGGCCGAGTTTAGCAGGGCCCGCAGGTTCCCCACGGCTTCTTGGAGTAGCGCGGCAAGGGGCAAGGGCTGCAGGAGGGCGAAGCGTAGGGTCGGCCAAAGGTGCAGAGGCCCCCCGAGGCGAGCGTGGCCCCGGCGCCGTAGAGGCCCCCCAGCCCCAGGGAGCCGCCAAAGGCGGGTGCCCCGGAGGAGCCCACGACGGCCTGCTGGGGGAAGGAGCTGAGGATGGGGCCGGGGAAGGTGACGACAACGGGAGGCGGCTGGATGAGGGCCGTGGAGTCGGGGCACTGCCGGGCACACAGCTCGTTGCAGCTGTCAGCGATGGGCTGGGGGCAGGCGATGCTGGTGGCGGGGGCGCACAGGTCGTAGGAGGACATCTTGCTGCTGGGATGGACGGTGCTCTACAAGAGGGGAGAGAGGGCGAGGGAGTAGAAAATGCCTCTCTGCGGGCTGGAGGGCGGCCCCGAGGGAGCCCGGGGGTGGGAGGCTAAGTGCCCGCACACTTACCCTGTTGCCCAAGGAGGAGGCGTCGAGAGAAGTGGTTGGAGAGCCTGGCGGAGGCAGAGCTTTTATACAGCCCCTGCAACTGCACAGCCACAACGCCCATCTGCACAGGCGG